CCAGCACAGGGTGCAGAGATGCTGCCAGAACAGGTCAAAAGCAGGTTCCACCATCAGGGCAATGCCAAAAACACTGTGATAAAATCTAGCTTTACAAAAATAACTCAGCTACACCCTGGAGAATGAAATATATAAAAGAAACTGAAAATGGGAAGTCTTTTATGGAACCATTAATGGGGCCAGAACTGGAACAGTGGTGGTGAAAAGGAAGAAGTGGGGATGAGTTGGCAGGAACTTGGGGGGATGATGAAAGGCACTTGCTGGCAAACTGGACAGAAGAGCCCCTGGAAGGAAGTGGGGATGACTCCGCGTTTCAGAGCTGAGTAAGGAAAACAGGAAAAGCACCAAGTTGGGGAAGAAAGATAATGAGTTGGGGGCTATAAATATTAAGTTTGGGTTTGTCTATAGGAAGAAAATCAAGTGGGGAGTTTGAAGTACATTTCTGGTGTTCGGGATAGACCCACTCAGGGTGGTGGGGAAGTGGGAAAGAAGGAAAAAATGGGGATAAAAGGGTTTACAAAGGGAAAGAAAACAAAGAATCCTTGCATATCTGCACAGTCCAGCCAATTCTAGACCTGGACAGGTACCATTCCAAAATGATTCTTCTACAGCAGCTGGCCCCCCACTGTCCCAACTCACCTTCTGCGCTTATCCCTAGTCTTCTCTTTCCTGCATCAAGCGTATAATAAGCATTCGTTATGCCAAGCACTGCTCAAAATTTGAAAGACACAGACCGTGAAAACTCAAAACTGCCTTTGGAGTTTCTAAGTCTTTGTGCAAAAGACAGCAGTCAATAAGCAAACAGCCAAATAAACACAAGACATATCTGCATTGGACTTGTCAACACCCTGCCATGGGGTAGGAGCTGAAGGTCCTGCAGTTCCCTAAGGACTCAGCTGCAGATAATGGTGGCTAGGGGTGAGGGGCTCATAAAGTCCCACCTCCCCCCAGTAATGGTCGCTGGAGAAGAAACATTGTCTGCAGTAGTGTAACCACTATCCATAGTCCCCCATAAAAAATCACACACACACACACACACACACACACACACACACACACACACTGAGAGATGGAGAGAAGGGCGGGGTCAGAGGTCCATGAAACTAGAAAGGGGACTAGTTGAAAGAGGAAGGGGATCATTGGGGGGGGGAGAAGTGAGGATAATACGAGTGGATATGATTTAAAAATTAATTATGTACTATGTAAAATTATAATGAAAGCCATTATTGTATATAATTGATTAATGTGAATAAAAACACAAAATATAATTTCAGTAAATTAATGCAAAGGGAGGAAAGTAGACCTCAGACTGCAGATGGAAAGGAGAGAGTATTAATTTAAAATCAGGTAGTAGTGGTAATGTAAGGCCTTTTTTACTTTTTGCATGAAGATACAGAGCAAGCCATGTGAAAATCTGGGCAGGGAGCATTTGAGGCACAGAGAGGAGCAAGCATGAAGACTGCAATAGAAACTAGCTTGACATGATTGACAATCAGCACTGCCCTGCCTGGCTTCAGAAGGCTGAATGGCTACGGTTTATTTCTTCTGCTATTTCTATACCAGTTTTTTTTTTTTTTTTGCATGTTAACTAAAAGTACTGAAATTTTTCCACAGGTTTATAGTCTTTCTTCTGAATTCTAGGTAATTCTCAATAAGGGCAAGATCTATATTTAAAGTTCGTAAGGCACAACACCTAGTATCTGGGTAAGTGTTCTTTCTCTGTTCTCTCATCTATGAATGTGGATTAGAATATTTCCTAATCCTTTCACAATCTCAAATACTCCAGAGCTCCTCCCAGATGTTGTTTCCCATCTGGTGAGCAAATGGAGAGTTATTTCTGGTCCTGCTGTGGTCAGTCAGAAGCCAATGCTATGCATAGAGCAAAATCGAAAGACCAAATGCCAAGATTCCTATGCTACTTGCAAACCTGGTGGCTTTACTTGGATTTGAATATTGAAGACTGAAGTACTAAGCAATCCTGAATAGGCTCTGAGAAGCTGTTTGCTTTGCCACAGTTCTGCACTTAAACATTATAATAATATTATTATTATCCCACAGGGGTGTCATGAGGATTAATGAGACATTATCAAATCACTTTGAGCTACTCCCCTGGGGGGTACTTAATAAATGGTATGTGTTCCCCCTGAAGTGCCACTTTTGACATTGATTTGTTCCAATGGATTCTGTTGTCCAACAGGGCTGGAACGCACCCACCAACTCATTTCCCATAGGCAGCCGAGTAGCCATTAAAAGGCAGTGGTTTTCGGTTAAAATAAATATGAATTGAAAGCGAACAGTCAGCAATCAGAAGCAAATAGGCTGCTCGTAGAAATCCAGTATTTATCAAGTGCTCACAGTGATCAGCATGAGAGGTTCCCAGTGTGATAGAATACTGCAAACACTAGATTTGGAAATAATCCAAGATTTTAGGACTGGCTCTGTCACTCACTGGCTATGCAGGCTGAACAAACTGCTAAGTTTCTCAGGGTCTCAAATACAAAATAAGGGCTGTCTGGACAAGCCTGTCATCAGAGTCCTCCAGACAAGGCAAACCTATGAAAGAAGTGGAAATAGTCATTTCGGAAAGCAAGACACTTCCCAGCCGGGAGAAACTTGTGACCATCCATCACAGGACCATCCTCTGCTCTAGTCTCCTTTGCCATTGATTAATATTAATTTCAATATTAATTCCTGCAAAAGGAAGAATAAATCACCTTCTAAGTCAGACATAGAAGTGCATGAAACATTCAGTCTTTAAAAATAGGGTCTTTGCCTTTCAGTGAGCTATCCTTGCAGGATGCAGTCTTTCTCATCCTTAGATTTACATATATGAACATCCGCTCAACTGCTCCCCTAATCACCAGCTAACATAATGTATATAAAATAATGTGGTGACCATCACACAACACATAGCTCTGAAGTTGTGTGTTTAAGAGGGATTTACAGGGTTGCCCGGTATTTTCATCTGACAATATACTTAACTCTGCAATGCCCAGCAAAGGGCTGGATGTAAAGTTGAAGATGAAGGAGTCATAAAGTATCTGGTATTCGTTATACCCCTGCAAGTACCGGCTGCAGAAACCTGTAGGGTGACTGCAACCCCGGCTCAGCTTCCCCTCACTCCTCATCCCAAGAATCGCCGTGGGGTCCTGGACTCCACAGAAGAAACGTCTGCCTGGAGCAGAGGGAAGTACAAAGCATCGGTTGTTGGGGAATTCGACTCAACAAACAAATGATGAGTTCTCATGATTTCCAAGGTGCTTTGATGGTTGCTAAGAACAGAAGTTGCGCAAAGCCCGGTCTATAGTAGAGTTTGGCGCCTGGGAGAGGTGGTAGGGAAAGATGGCCACCAATCACTCTTACATCAAATTGCATCTTCAGATCACTTCAGGGAATGAGTAGATAGATGTCTAGACAACAGTTCCTCTTTTGCAAATGATTGTGATGATTCAAAACAGAATTTTGTAACTCCAGTACTTATACTTGGGGTCGCTAAAACGTCTGGAGGCAGAAGTTAGGCTTAAAACAACCACAACAATTTGGGGAAACAGTTCACGGGGGATACATGTGTTCTCTAGGCCCAGATCAAGCAAGAGGGAGGGACACAAGCTGCAAAATGAAGCCTTTCCCACATTAGCAGCTAAAGCCGAGGCAAGTTCCCCGCCACAAGGGCAGGAGGCATTGCGTTAAATAAAATCGAGGGGCAGACATAAAATAAAATCGGGACAGACGCGCTGCTCATGTCTGTCCCGCAGCAGACAAACCACTGAGTTATCTAACCACATAGATGAGATGTGGTGGATTTTCTTTACCATTCCCCCTCTTATTTTCCCACTGAAAGTAAAATAAACTTTTAAAAATCAGGCTGCCCTCACTAATTCCAGCCAGAAACTTAGTTCTGATTCTGTCCAGGGTGAACTAGCCCTTACAAAAGTGGGGTCTATGAACGCTTCTAAGGACCCTCTTTTTAGACTCTTGGAAAGACTTCAGACCCTACGTACCCATTAACTCAGTTGGTCTTCCTGTCCAAACACAACCGTTTACAGTACCCATACACCAGGTTTTAGCAGTCTTCTCTCCTCCAAAATCCGTATGCTGGTCCCAGACTCACCTCTTGCCCAGGCTAACCACCTAGCCTTCACCCCCTCCTCCCACAACATGCAGGGTCAGAAGGCCTGGCACCTTATGGCCCTGCTTCCTCCTTTGCCTGGGCCTTCTGCTACCTGCTCGACTGGAACTTGCCCTTCCTCCTGCCCAGGCAAAGTGTGAAGGGCCAGGGGGCCCGCATCCCAGGGCCGAGGTGTGGTTCTTCAACAGATATAACAGCCCTAGGATTTGGCCACGCGCGGAAAGGGAATGCGCGCTGTCCAGAGCAAGTGGAGCCCAGGAATGAGGCCAGGCGGCGAGGTTCCTCCAAGGCCAGTCTGGCTGGGTAGAGGATCGGGAGGGTCTAGGAAAAGGGGGTGCAAATTGGAGGAGATCCAGTGACAAAGAACCGCAAGGAGCACGGCCCGGGAAGCGGGAAGCG